AAATACTGTTTAGCAAACCAGATGTTTGTTTAGGATGGAAGCAGAGGGTTTTCCCTTAATTAAACACTTGAAATGTTGATACTAAAAGATCTGGTTGCCTTCATGTTTTTGTTTTTTTCTCGTTTGCCTGTCTAATCGGATTAAAGTTCCAGGTGTTTCCAATTTCCAAATGAGCGCCCCTATTGTAGATATGGGCGAGTTTTAGCAAGTAGATATTTTTGTGGTAACGCCTTGACTTTTAAAAAATAATCTGTGCTGCTTAACCAGCAGGCATCATTTTCTTTCCAATTTTAAAGATAAACAGGTCTCAATTTCTGTTTATAGGTATTCAAACACCATGGAGACAGGAAGTCATATTTGGTTTTTGACCAGGGATTTTTTGTCCCCTCTGAATCATTAGATACATGTTACTTCAATAAATTACTGTATTTATGAAACTTAAACCCTTTGGGTAAGATTCTCAATATACCTTTTTACAGCTATGATTTGGCCATACAGATGTTCTCTAATTCTGATTAAGGAGACATGAGGACAGGATTTAGAATATGTTTTGATGCCTCTGGCTTTTGACGCCAGAATGTCAACAATTGATCTGTTTTGTGGTTTTTTATCAATATGACTGCTGTTTTTTATTCAAATGCCAGAGTTGTAATAAAGATGTGAATGAAAGGCAAGTTTATTTATATAGCACATTTCAGTTGCAAGGTTTCAGAGCTTTTACAGTTTTCTGGGAGTTTGTTCTGGTTTAGTGGAACATAAGAACTAAAAGCTGCTTCTTGATGTTTGTTTCTGGCTACGAGGAGTTGATTTGAGCCAGAAGACCTTAGAGGTCTGGGCTGTTGATTCACTGACATGTCAGTCTATAAATTGCTAAATAGTTGCGTCCAAAATAAATTACAAACAGAAGCATTTTACAATATTCTCTTAGATACAGTGAGCTCGGTTTTAGTGGAGAAAAATGCAGCACTGTGCTGGATCTACTATGCTGTCCATGTTTTTAGGCAGCTATGTTAAGAAACCATTGAAGTAATCAGTTCAACGAAAATCGAACTAATTGATTTGTTTTTCAAGGTCCTGCTGAGACATTAGTCCTGGTTTCCGTTTTAGGATAACTTCTATTTTAGTTCAACTTGCGTTGTAGCTTTTGTTTTCAGGTTGTGAAGCGGGTTTTAAAAGCATCTGTATGCACTTTGTTCCTATGTGCACAAACATCCAAGTTGAGGTGTTTTTTCGGATGCTCAAAACCCGTTTAGAATGAACGCACCAAATGTTTCTGTAGTTCTATTTCAAGATGAGTTTGGTACTGGACTTGATATAGATTATATAGACTGACCCATTGATCTCTTAAGGTTTTTTTTTGTGAAGAAGTGAGAAAATTGCATGGCCTGGTAGAAGGGAGGTCGGTAGAAGGGAGGTCAGATGTATCAGTCAGAGGAGGGTTTGTTAACCGGTTTACCATTGCAGTTAAATCAGAGGTATTATTATTGTTTTTGATTTTAGAAAAGAAACATTCTTGCAGCATTTTTTAGTTGGGAGTTATATCTGTAGTCCCTCTTTAGATGTTAAGTAAACTTGTAGTCCTTTCTTTCACGTTGTATGGACTCTTGATATGTTTTATCAATCACTTGCATATAAATCGATTTCAATCAAAATAGTATAAGCACAGATTTTTTGCTTATCATTATCCAAAAAAAGTGATAAAACATCATATCCCAATAAAGCTGGTAAATAACTCTCCTACAGACTATAGGCGAATTCTCTAAGTGGAGCATGGCCTAGTGGTTGGGGCATTGTGCTTGGAATCCAGAGGTTCTGAGTTCATTCCCTGCTCCCACATACTAACACTCTGGGTCCCTGAGCAAGACCCTTAACCCCACACTGCTCCCCGGGCACCGCACAATGGCTGCCCACTGCTACCCAAGGTGATGGGTTACATGCAGAGAGTTAATTTTGTTGCTTTGTACTTGTGACAGTGCAATGACAATAATAATAAAACAGCTGACTACAGATGGCTTATTTAAAGCTGTATCCAGTCAGTAGCAACATTCACACTAAAGAGTGACCTGTTGTCTTTGCTGGTCCGCAATTAATAGTTTTTCAAATTTCCAGCAGGTCACCGGTGGATTTATCAGCGCACTTCCATTTGTAAAGCTTTTAAGATGCCTTTATCAGGAGGGTTAATGGGTTATGATAATTCTGAGTGTATTACGCATAAAAATATCCTTTTATAGACACAGTGCAATACTTATTATTTAAAGGGCAACTGAATGTGTACAAATGTCACATGTTGTGCATTTGGGCTGTAATTACTGTTTTTATGGCCTGATAAGAAAGCAAAGACTTCCTTATAAAAACCTTTGAACTGATTGCAGATCAGTTTGTTATAGTTCTATATTTGTCTGGTTAACTCTGCGCTATAGCTGCAACATACATTCGGTCAATTTGCAGAGTTGGTTTATTTTATTTTACCGAAGTGCAATAATGGTGAAAGTAGGGTTTTTGTTCTTTTTAGTTTTTAGCTTGTCTTAGTAAGGATTTCCATGTATGAAACACTTTTAATTCCCTTTGCCAATTTTCTAAATATGACTGATGTTGCAATCAAAGATGAACAGACTGCTGAGATTCATTTTGTTCTATTACTTCTGAGAAAAGCACTGCAGTCTAATTCTGTCCAGATGAAATTGCATGACTGTGTGTGTGTTTGGCTTCCATAAGCTCAAGGAAATGACCCCAGTAGGACATTCTATTCCTCTCATCATATGACCAGCATGAAACTATTCCTCAGTCTGGGAATAAAGGTGACTCTGTTAGAGATGGTTTACAGTGAGGAGCAGGAACTGTTGTCCCTTTTATATTAGTTTAACATCTACTGCTTCAAAAAAATTCAACTTAATTTTTTTCTACTGATATATTTTTACACACTTGATGCAACCTAAATTGAAAACATAAAATACTGAGATTAAAATTTGAATTTATTGCCAGTTTTCAATGTCACTGGGAGGACAAGCAGTTTATGTGTGAAAGTGCACCACCCACAGACTGCAAAGTGTCCACTGTGTGTGTTTGTTGGTGGGCACCTTTCCAGTACAAGGCAGCTTCTGCCAGTTGGCTCATGAGAACGGTGCACTGGGAGAGAGACAAACTTTGCAGGAGTGTGGCCTTGATGGTTTAAACGGGACCCTGTCGTTGTTGATGTTGTTTGAAATGCTGCTGGCTGAGATGAGCTTTGGCCGACTGAGCTGAGCGGAGAGACATCTGTTGTGACAACAGCACACGAAAAAGTTTGTAAAATATTTTAGTAAATCACTTCTTCTAAAAAAAACTTTTGCCAAAATTGCCTTTATTAAAGTAAAAGGATTTCCCTGGGAATTTTATAAGGTTGCTAAGAAACACAAAAATGATTCAAATAAAGTCAAAAAATGATCCTAACACTGAAACATATGCAAAAGAAAAAAGCTGCAATCACAGAAAGTGGAGAGAGGCAAAATGCAAACGAACTGCAATACATAAACAGTCTACAGACATAAAAATGCTGCTAACTTAAATGATGCTAGCATGTAAAAAGCAGACAAATTAGAAATACTGCAAGTAACAAAAGCAGCCACAGGTTAAGATAAGCAGCAAACTAGCTTTCCAATAATCAAAGTGCTCCAGACCACTAGGAGTTTTCCATCAGTTCATATGAAAGCAGACCCAAAGTATAAATGTGCGTCCATGTCTATGTTGTGGTCCCAATAGCCCCATTTACACTACCCTTTTTAAACTGCGCTTGAAACGGTCTGAGCACAGTTACCGAGAATAAACAATAAAGAATAAATGGAATGCAGCTGAACTGGACCATGCCAGACACAACCGAACCGCGCTAAATCTCTTACTATTTCAACAGTAGGGCTTGGCACTCTGATAACAAAGAGTGCATGAGCAGATCGCGTCATCTCCTATTTACAGTCAGCTGACTCATTTTGCGTTATATTTGATCATTTCAAGCTTAGATTGGAGTTATGAGGTGATTAAAACGTTTTTCTCCTTTTATTTGGTAAAATCTTGGCTTTCATTAGCAATTAAATTTATCAAGTGGCCGATAATTGTTTATCAATGCAGGTCCTCGATTGTGGGAGGTGCTTCTGATTACGTTGCCACCTGGATGGTAGTTAAGGAGTGCCGTTTCACCCATGAGGTGTGTGTCACCGTGGTACCAGGTGACATTAAATTCCAGGTGTGTCCGAGGCTCAGGGAACCAGTGGCTCCAGAGGGACAAGCTGGGGTTAGGACTACAACTGAGTCCTGGGTTCAGTCTGGTCCAGATGTCCGGAGTCGGTTGGCGAGAATCAAACTGAGAGAAGACCATGCGGAGGGAGCACTTGCTGGAAGCATATCTTTGGCTGACTGTCGCTCATTTATAACTTTAATAAATGCCTCTTAAGGGCTAAAAACGTTCCTGGTTGCAGAGTCCTCCCTGTTTTTGTTGCGGCCATGTGAGCATGTCCGTAACAATGGTGACCAAATCTGCTTAAGGTCAGGCGTAGGTTTTTTGTGTTTTATTTTTTTAGGTTAATTATGTTCAGTGGGATTTGATCTCAGGTAGTTTTGCTTTTTTGAAATGAAAATGTTCTTCAAGTAAATTCCAAGGTTAGAAGAAGCTGTCCCAATACATCAGATACATGTTTATTTCAATAAGGAATCATATAAACAAGATGAAAACAACAAGAAGCAGATGAAGATTGTTGCTTTAAGAGGGAATCTGTGGTTTACTGCTGATGAGGAGTACTAGTAGACAGAAATCATGTGTAGGATAAAACATATTTTTGTAATTGCATTTTTTTCCCAAAGAATATGTTAAACTTGCCAGAGATGGTCACATGCACATGCATGGAATGTGAATGTAAAGCTGCAGGAGAAGGGTTGGGTTGAAGAGACCAGGGTCTCTGAGGATTGCGGAGGAGAGATAGGCAGTAGGATGAAGTGGGGCAGGCCTAGCCTCTTTCAGACAGTTGGGTGTTAACCCAGCGAACCTCTGTATGGTATAAATGAGACATGCAGGGCTTGTTCAGCAGCTGAGGTAGCTGATGAGAGGAAGCTGGAGTCCCCAGTCTGAGCTAGACGGACTTTAGAAAGTAAGTCTCTTTTATTTCAGGGTCATTTGTCAAGCTCTGGATGTTTAATGATTCTCTGAACTCTTGAGTGTAGGTTCTACTACTTAATGCTCTTTTAGCCACATCTCTTTTAATGTTTATTTTCTAATGAGTAGTTTTTCTGTTTCATAAGATTTTTGCTGCTCTGCCAACTTGGCTGACTACAAACCGCAGTGTTTTCTATTTACTTTTAAGTTCATCTGTGGACTTCTACTTTTTTTTTCTTGGTTTTGTTTAAGATGTTGATAGTTTAGCAAGAAGTAGGTCCGCCTCATTCTCCTGATCGTTATCTCTTCTCTTCATGTAATCAACCAAGACCTGCCTGTACCAGCTTTATGTCAAGTTTAAGCTCCTGCTTTCTTAAATAATGTCACATCCCAGCCTGGAAAATAACAATTTGTGAATGAATGAAGTGGCAGCAGAGATCTGAGAGCAGGTTTATAAATATAATCCATTACCAGTGGGGAAAAAAGAAAGCATGCTGTACCTTCCAAACGCCTCGTGTCAAACCCCTACCCAAACAAATGAAGATGTTGGTAACACACAGAGATAACAAAGTATTTTTATTCCTTTAAAAAAAAATTTTTTTTTTACTTTTTTCCTTCAATAGTGGATATATCTGACTTGAATCAGACCAGAAAGGCATTAGGCATTTATTTTCCATATGTTAGAGCTACTCTGATGCTTTTTTAATGTTAACGTCTCTTTTTCTGTTGGTTTCAGACCTGGTGGCCCAATCTAAGATTGAACACAAACCAGAGACCGACTGAACACCATGACGGCCATCAATGCACCTAAAGACAAGTAAGACTAATTAGTTTCTATAATATATGGATAGAATAAGCAACAGCTTTTTAAAAGCATTGAATGATTTGAATAAATTAAGAACATAAAAATTTAGAAAAGGATAACAATTAAAAGTAGAAATAATGACACCAGCATATGACCAAGCTAACCCCTCAGGCCCTGTCACACTTTGCAGATTTATACATCGAATGACTGACGTCCCAGAAACGCTGGCATACGCTGAACTTCCTATGTATTTTTTCAATTTTGGGCGTATAAATATGTATTTATAACAAGTCCAAAACTTATGTCCAATGATAGCTTAACTTATGCATAACGCACTGCATCGTAACGCCCATGAATTGTCATTAGCCAGTGTCCTGAGGGGGGCAGCAAAGTGTCCGGAGGAGCCCAGCCTGAATAAAAAGATGTCTTTGATGTTGGTATTAACCTAGCTGCTTTTTATTACCCACCAAAAATAAATAAATAAATAAATAGAAAGACAGAAGATTTGCAGTAGCAGCAGGTTCAGCATCATGTCTGCTAGGAATATTGTTGGTCTTGGGCGTGAATGCAGGCAGGATCCATCACGCATACCTTCTTGCTCACCCTATGATGGGGATGCAGTCTGGAGGAGAACTGATATTTTTCTCCTGTGAACCTCCTTTTATACCAAGAACGCTGCCAATACGCCATTGTACTCTAGCTGTAAGTTAGAGACGCGTTCAGCGGCCGTCTGGAACATGTCAAATACGTTGATATGCGTTGGAGATAAGTTCTTGATAAGTTTACGTATGTCAACGTTCAGATAATTACCTGCAATTTATATATGTATGGCATATGTGCTTGCCATATGTTGACGTGTACCAGCTTGTTTCAGCGTACTTCAGTGACCTCACAACTAATACAAAACATACCCATAACTTATCCAACGTATGCCAGCGTTTTTTCCGTATGTCAGGCGTACGCTGGTCTGAATCATCAAGGTGTGACAGGGGCATCAGATCAGGGCTCCAGCTGCATGTGGAGCACGTGGAAAACATTTAAGCACAGTAACGTTCACATTCTGATCCAAGTGGTTGGAGAGAGAAGTAAAGGAAGCCAATAGATTCTTTATCTTTTGATTCATTTTCTCTCTCCTACTATGTCTTGAATTACTGAAAATTTCCACCAGCAGTAGATAGGTCTGTTGATATGAAAATGAAGGTTCTGACTCATGTGGATTTCTGCGTTGCCAGATACCACGCAGTATGGATTATTTTCTTCATCCTGGGATTGGGAACCCTCTTACCGTGGAATTTCTTCATGACGGCCACAATGGTAAGATGTTTCCTCAGGCAAATGATCCAAAGAGCTGGTGTTGGACCTTATAGGTCTGACAAAAAAGTCTCTGCCCATTTAACTTTATAGATCCTTAGGGTAAATATATGTGTGTTTGGAATTAAACACATCTTAGTTCTGTTGAGCCTTTAGGGGTTGGTTATTGCAGCAAGGGAAAGTCATTAACGAATTTGCATTCCTTTGCTTTTTTTTAGTATTTCACAGACCGATTGAAAGACCCTTCAACTATCAGCGTCAATGGGACCTCAGAGCGCTCTGTGCTGGAATCCAAGTTCAACAACGTGATGACGCTATGCGCCATGTTGCCGCTGCTCATTTTCACCTGCCTCAACTCCTTCATACACCAAAGGTACGCATCCTGTGTATAATGTCTAAATGACCACGCAGAATGGGAACCGAGGGCAAATATTAGTAGTAGCTGATTAACTTTATTTAATCAAGAGGAATTAATAATACCATGTAAAGCATCAGCGTTCAATGCTTTTATCTTGATGTTTCCTCCAGCTGTTACATACAACCTTCTGCTGTTTGTAACTTTATCTTCACATGCGGATGCATATCCTCATGTCATGTTTGCTTTTATTAGACCTCAGTAAATGCTTTCTATGCACAAACGTATCCACGAGTGCTATTTGTGTTTCCCACTTCCCTCTTTTTTCTTTGAACTTTCTCCTGTTGTCTTTTTCTTACACCTGCTTCATCTTTGTTTCCTTCCTGCAAAGATGGAACAAAAACTTGTACATTGTGACAGAGCTCAGCTGCTTATTCAGTACTTCCTTTTTGTGCGCTTTACGTTTATTACACAAACTTGTTTTTCAGGGGGAGTAGTGGCCTACTGGTTAGTGGCCTAGTGGTTAGAGCAGTGCGCTTGCACTCTGAAAAGGTTGCAATTACCCAGTTCGATCCCCACAGCCTGCACTCTGGGTCCCTGAACAAGACCCTTAACCCCTGATTGCTCCCCAGGCGCCGCACAGTGGCAGCCTACTGCTCTTCAAGAGGATGGTTTAAATGCAGAAGTGAATTTCTCCATTGTGAGATCAATAAAGTTTAATTGTAAGGTTGGGAGACGATTGAACTACTCATAAACCAAAGTTTAACACATTCCTCCCACTTTCTGTCTCCCTTGTAGGATCCCTCAGAAGCTGCGTATCTCAGGCAGCCTGGCCGTCATCTTCCTAGTCTTCATGCTGACAGCTATACTGGTCAAAGTGAACATGGAGCCTCTGCCCTTCTTCACCCTGACTATGATTAAAATAATCTGCATCAACTGTAAGCGATATTTTATGATAATTAGTCACCTTAAACTTTAAATGTCTTTAAAGTCTATGTTTAGCTTTTCCCTGTCTAAATAGTTCACATATATAGGGATCAATGGTAAAGATTTAATTGAATCTATTAATAGCCACTTGGCTAGAACCTAAATATACAATAATTAAACAGTAGTAAACTCTGTTCATGTTTTGAAAAATTAACATTTTGCAAACAAACTTTTGCAGCCGCATTATCAAGCTATAGGTGGAGACAAGTGGAGACGGCAGATACTTGCTCTCTAAATGACACAATACTATTGATTTATGTTTTGAAGCTTTATTTTTTAAAGATCAATGGGATTTATTTTAGTAATGTTTTTTTTACATCATGATTCTCCTTTTCTGTTACATTTTTTCACGTGAATCTAATGTTTGGGATTAAATAGTGATGAGAGATGCTCATAGCGTCACGCTGAGATCCTCACCAGTCTGTTTTTTTCTGTGTTTATTTGCAACAAGTCACAGCACAGCAGGGATAAGCTCATCCTCTTCTCTCTCCCTGTTGGGTCGCTTCTGACCCGCATGTTCTCACGCAATATGAGCCTGATGTGTTTTCTAAAGAAGACCATAGTGACCTCGAAGCTTCTGCTCATGGTCGTCCCAGAATGTGCTGTCTGGGTGTTTTGAGGGTTTCTTCTAAGAAAAGCCGCATTAAGTAAATGTTTGCTAACAATTTTTCAAGAGAAGTCTTTTTTTTACCAGAGTAATTGTTGGGCTTCTCTTTTTTGGTGTAATTCGTTGGTTCCTGTTTGCTGCTTTAAAGCTGTGTGTGATGTTTGTGTCTCTCGCCAGCGTTTGGAGCGGTCCTTCAGGGCAGTCTGTTTGGGCTTGCAGGGATCCTGCCTGCCTCCTACACCACTCCCATAATGAGTGGGCAGGGTCTGGCTGGTACCTTCGCTGCCTTCTCCATGATCTGTGCCTTGGCCTGTACGTATTGCTCAGAAACCACACTAACTCTCCTACTCGTTCTTTAAGCACCCCTTCCTGCAAAGTCCATTTGAGGAACATGCTGCACAGTAGGTTTGGTTAATGGTCGACAGATAAAAGAAAAGATGCAGCTTCTTTTTACACTGATTAAAAAAGGTACAGATTCAGAAATCTGTGAGGGATGACCGATAAGCAGATTTGTACTGATCCTGCTTCAGTTCCTGTTTATTAAAACTAGTGTGATAAAGATCGATAAAATGTGTTCCCGCACATGGTATAAATGCTTAGTAATTAGCTTTGTTTAAAAGAGTCATTCACATGTTGGGAAACTATGAAGAATTTCCTCTTTAATTAATTAATAAGAATTCAGCTCGTGGGAATGATTTATATTTTCAGGAAAACAAGAGAAACTTAAATGGAGTCCAGTTAGTTTATGTGATAACTGCAGCTGTATCAGCATCCCATGGTACTACTCTGGGATTGATAAAGGGATTAGGATTTATGTATGGATTTATGAACCTCTAATCTCTTTTTTGCTTTCCAAGTGCAATGTCTTTTATTTGAATAAAAAAAAACAGTTCTCCTTTTAACTCTTTTATTTTTAAATAGGGCTGAAACAATTCATCGGATTAATCGTGATTGATCGATTTTGGAAATCATTATCAACTAATTTATTAATCATTTAATCGTTAAATGGAGTATAGACTGTAAAATAGCTTTAGCTGACAGAGCGACCCAATTAGAGCAGTAATTATATCAAAATAATAAAAAAAAATGTGTAAACATTTCCGTCTGTCATTAGGCTCCATCCAAAACTCCTCAATTGGAAAAGTTTTTGTCTCACCTGATTAATTTAATAAAAAAAAATCTTCTTTAAAGAACCTTTTGCTATCCGATTATTAAACAAAAAGACAATAAACAGATAAATCATTTGCAAAATAATCATTAGTTGCAACCCTACTTTTAATCTTTAAAGTTTAAAGAATTAAAGTAGAATTTTTAAATGAGGGAAGCCTGCTGTGTTGCAGAATCATGCATCGAACAATTGAATCATCCACTTATTGTATCATTTAATTCATGTTTGTAGCAGGAAGATGCAGCAGAAGAGCTGCTATAATTAAGCTGTAGACTCGCTAACATTACATTGTGTGTTTTCTGTCTGCAGCTGGATCAGAGCTGCAGGACAGCGCTTTTGGTTACTTCATCACAGCCTGTGTGGTTATTCTTCTGGCCATAACTTCCTACTTCATGCTGCCAAAGATGGTAATAACTTTGCAGCCATCTTTTTTTATCAACTCTGTTTTTGTTGTTAACTTGGAGAAAACTTTGATCTGTTTCACCATGATGGTTGTTTTTATCGACAGGAGTTCTTCCAGTATTACATAGAGAGTAACAAATCAGCACCGTCTCCTGATGAGGAAAACAAGATGGACTTACTGAAGAAAGGTGCGTGGAGCTGTCTGTGGTTCTGGTGATTGTTTTTAATCTCCGCTCTGTTTAATGGGGAATAGAGTCTGAGACGGGAGTGGATTTTCACTCCTGTCCCGTCCCACTCCCACAGAAAAAAATGGTGTCCCGTCCCGAT